CAATCCACTCACCTCAGCCTCCCAAAGGCACGGGATTGCAGGCTGAGCCACTGAGCCCGGTTTGGTTTTTGCATTTTTTAATGGTTGAAAAAAATCGCTGGGTGAGGATGGCTCATGCCTGTAATCCCAGCATTTTGGGAGACAGAGGCAAGAGTCTGAGTACAGGGGTTCAAAGCCAGCCTGAGCAACTTGGCGAGACCTCATTTCTACAATAAATTTTTTTAAAAATTAGCTGGGTGTGATGGAGCTTGCCTGTGATTCCAGCTACTTGGAAGGCTGAGGTGAAAAGAGCGCCTGAGCCCAGCAGGTCGAGGCTGTACTGGCCATGAACATGCCGTTTCACTCCAGCCTGGATGACAGGGTGAGTCTCCGACTCAAAAAAAAAAAGAAAAGAAAAGAAAAGAAAAGAGAAAAAGTCAACAGAATAATCTTGGTGGCACATAAAAGTTATATGAAATTTAAATTTATTGCTTATAAAGTCTTATCGGAACATAGCTATGCCTTCTCTTTCACACTGTGTGGCTCCTGTCACAAGGCAGAGTTAGTGGCAAGATAGAGACCCTGAGGCCAGTAGACCCCAAAATGTTTCCTCTTTGGCCTTAACAGAGAATTTGCCGACCCTGACACAGGGCCCGCCTGGGCGCTGCGGCACCACAGCCGGCAGGGGGCAGCAGAGAGCCGCGCGCCGGGGAACGGGACCGAGGCGCCCAGGGGCTGACGCTGAGGTTTCTCAACCGGGAATCTGAGATGCGGGCCGAGGTGGAAACGCCTGGAGGGGCGGGCGGGGGGTAGTGTGGCACTGGAGAAGAGGTGGGGGTGCAGAGGCAGTCAAAGCAATTTGGTGCTGCTGGAGTGGAAAGCGCAAGCTCTGCAGGGCGGAGGGTGGCCCCCAGGGTGCGGACGCCACGCGGGCCTGCGCTCTAGGCTGTGCGGCGGAGTCACTGAAGGGCTGTGGGCGGCCGAGTGATGGTGCCGATTTGGGAAGAGGGATGTGACTTTGGTGGCTGTGCCCCGGGGCACGCTGGTGCAGCCACCCAGGGGCAGGGTGATGGGGGTGAGGGCTACATATCTACATCTGGAGCGCTGCGAAATAGCGTCCTTCCCCGCCCAGAACTGGCCCTGGGGCTCTCTGTTTCGCCCCAGGACAGGCTGGATAAGCATGCTTGGGCTTTTCTCGTTCCTGCTTTCACAACGACCAGGAGGCAGCTGGGCCACCTCTCACCCTGGGCCCGGGTGTTTTCTTGAAGTGTTCAGCAGGGGCTGGCTTTTCTCCGGCTTTTCCTCGGTGACTAGCTGGTTTCCCTAGTTGCGCCTCTGCCTTTGTGCAAGGCCTTTTTTGTACCTTCTGGTTCTGCCTTAGAGAAGTATTTCTTAGTGGGAGAAGGGGAGGGCTCCCAGGCCCCTTTTAGAATCTGGTGATGAGCCGGGCTCGGTGGCTCAGGCTATAATCCCGCGCCTTTGGGAGGCTGAGGTGAGTGGATGGCCTGAGCCTGCGGGTTTGAGACCTGCCTGGGCAGCGAGACCTCATCTCTACAATAAAAAAAAATCAGCGGGGCATGGTAGCGCATGCCTGTAATTCCAGCTACTTGGAAGGCTGAGGTGGAAGGATCCTCGGAGCCTAGCAGGTCGAGGCTGCGGTGGCCGGGAGCGACTACTGCACTCCAGTCTGGGTGACAGAGTGAGACTCCAACTCAAAAAAAAAAAAAAAAGAATCTGGTGATGACCATATGAACCCCAGAAAATGAACACAGGCCGGTGGACTAAAAACCTCAGATATGATTTCAAGGATTCCTGCATTCCCTAGGGCCAGCTGGGTTAAGGACAGCGGTCTTAAGGACCCTGGGTTGCCTCCTTGTTTTAAGGTTTGGGGTTTAATATCTAGAGCTTAACATCAGCTGCTATTTATTCTCCCAAATGCCTGTCTGTCTGATGTTCTTACTAATCTTGTCTTGTAGTATGTCTTTTTTTTTTTTGAGACCGGCTCTCAGTCTGTCACCCAGACTGGAGTACAGTGGTACAGTCGTAGCTCACTGAGGCCTGGAACTCCTGGGCTCAAGCCATTCTCCCGCTTCATCCTTCAGAGTAGCTGGGACTATAGGCGTAAGCCACCATGCCCAGATAATTTTTTAAATATTTTGTAGAGCTGGAGTCTTGCTATGTTGTGCAGGTTGGGTTTTACATTTTTCAATGGCTAAAAAAAATCAACAGAATAATCTTGGTGACACATAAATGACTTACTACAGCCTCAACCTGGGCTCAGGTGGTCTTCCTAGCTCAGCCTCCTGAGTAGCTGGCACTATAGGTACACACCAGCATATCTGGCTAATTTTTGCATTCTGCTGTAGAGACGTGGTCTTGCTATGCTGCCCACGCTGGTCTCAAACTCGTGAGCTTGAGCAGTTCCCCTTACCTCATCCTCCCAAAGTGCTGGGATCGCAGGCGTAAGCCACCACACCTAGCCCTGTAGTGTGTGTTATGAAAATGATGCTAATATGTAAATGTTTCTTCAGAATGGATTAAAACCTTTGAGACACACGAGATGGGAGCTTGGCTGATCTAGGGCAGCAGGTCTGGTGGTTTGGGCTGTGTGTTTGGGTCAAGTAGAGTCCTCGGGAACCTCCTTGAAGGCTGAAAACCGCGGGGCCGGGCGTGCCTGACCACTTCCTTGGCGTTTGACCAGGAAGCATTGTGATCACAGAACTGGGGACATGCGGGGTTTTATTTTTAGGGTCTTAGTACATCATAAAAGCCTCCTTCCTTGAAACAAAAAGAGCACTATATCAGGCGCAGTCTTATTTAGGAAATTATTATCCTCCATAACCAGAAATAAGTAGATTACAGTTTTTAAAAGATTAACTTAATCTTCATCACAAGGTAAGTTTAGAGGAATATATTCATTCAATTATGAAATGTTTCCAAAGGACAAATGGGAGCTTGGAAGTTTGAACTGTTTTTCAAATTATCCAGATTTAGAAAACCTAATCCAACATCAACTTTTTATAAAAGTCGTCATTCCCAGCAACAACGATGGTCTCTTATTTTGTGTGTGTGTTTTTAAACAGCAGCTTCAGTGGAGTATAATTTCTGTAACATAACATTCATCTTTCTTAGGTGTACAATTCAATGATGTTTAGTAAATGTACAGAGTTGTGCAACCAACACCACCATCTAATTTTAGGGCACTTCTGTCACTCCAGAATGGTCTCTTTTTAATCACAAGAAGTGATGTTAGAAAAAAATCGTATTTTAATTTATGACTTCCTGTATTTGCATCTTCTCAGTTATCATCTTGCTAATCAATGACCTCTATGGATATCTCCTCCAGGCAAACATGAGACTACTGGAGCAAAGCTCTTGCAATCTTATCAGAAACTGAGGTAGGTGCTACAGAGGACAGGCAGTCCTGGGCCTTCAGGGCAGGAGCCCAGAGGACACGCTGAAGGAACTTACAGATCTCCTGACTTTCAGATGTCACTGCTTTGGAACATAACTCTTTTTTTTATTTCTAAAGATAAAGTTTCTTGAGCAGATTCAGAGATGTTTCCAGATTCTTATGAAAAGCCTTTTAGCTAGCAAAGTCTTTTCTCACTAACTATTCTGTTTTGTTTCTCAATTTCTCCTGAAACAGTCTAAGGAAACTAAATATTATCTTTAATTTGCACATTAAATGCAATTCTAAAGCAAGCATTTGCTTTGATTAATAGTTCCTATCACTAACACCTTACCCAATGCCTGGCACCTTAGAGATATGGGTGAAATTAACATTGGCGGAATTGAATAACGGCCTGAGAGATGTCAAGTTCTTTGCACACAATTCTAAAAACTTGGCAGTCTTGAAGTGGGCCATGATTCACACACCTGATTACAGTGAATTTATTAAAGTATTACTGAAGGCTTTACCCCAGCTGCTTTTTTTTTTTTTTTTTTGGCCCAAGATGTGATTTTCCAGTCTCAGTGCTTTTTCATTTTTTCCTCCACTTGTTTTAGCACAGACTTCCAGTTCCTCTCGTGTCCAATTTTCACATCCGCAACATTTTTGGCACTTCTGCAGGTGCAGTTTGTGCTGAGAGACAGAGGAGTCCAGATGGGGGCTCAGGTGTGGAGCCTGGGGTTCTGGAGTAACTGGCAGCAAGACTGGGACCCAGTTGCCCCAGCTGTCTCAGAACGCAGGGGGTTTGGAGTGCCCAGACCCTGGGCAGTGTGGCCCTCATTCGCCACTTCCAGATACCAGGAGATAGTGCCCCTTGCAGAGAAGCAGGTTCGAGCAGGCCTTTTTCTAAAAAGTAAGGCACTTACAAAATAATAATTTTTAAAAAGCTGAGAACTTGAACTATAGACGAATGGCACATCTTGTGTATTTGTTAAGACTAATAACTTGCATGGGTCATAACTTGTTTCTTCTTCCTGTGTTTTTCCTTGGCAGCAACATTTCTGTGGTTCCTCCTACGCCCCCTCCTCTCAGTGAGAGCCAGTGCAGCCGGAGCCCTGGAAGGGTAACGTATTTGTTCCCGGCGCTTTCCTACAAGGGGGAAGGGGACAGGGAGAAGGGATCTCGCGAGGCTGAGCAGAGAACCTCATAGCAAAGGGATTTGACTTTGACCAGAGTATGTCACAAAGTGGGGCAGAGAGGGAGGGCCCCACGTGAGGCTGGGCAGGGCTTCTGTCCTCACCCGTGGCCTTGGGGCCATCTGCGATGTCAGCTGACCCCTCCTGCCTGTATCCAAGGCCTCATTTCTTTGCTCCTGGCATGGCATTAACCCTCTTCCTGACCTCTGCACTGTGTCTTTGAGTGTGGGCGTGTGTGGGGCCCCCGGGGTCCAGGGGATATATTTGGTTACAGGTGTGCGAGAGTGGGGGTGCTTGGGGACATGTGTGTATCTTTTGAGAGTTTGAAGGCTCTAAGGTAAAGTGAACCAACGCCATTTCTGTCCAAAGAAATTAGCTGTACAATCTTGGGGGAGTTACCTATATTTCCCACCTGAGAGGTGGAAATTATACAGATGTTCCTCGACTTATGATGGGATTGCATTGTAAACTCATCCTAGGTTGCAACTATCATAATTTGAAAATGCATTGAATACATCTAATTTACTGCTTTGCCTGGCGTGCCTTAAATGTACTCAAAACACATTAGTCTACCGTTGGGGAGAACCGTTTAATGCAAACCCTATTTTATAATGATAATAATAAAAATAACCAAAATTGATCAGGCGCGGTGGCTCATACCAGTAATCCCAACACTTTGGGAGGCCGAGGTGGGAGGATTGCTTGAGCCCAGGAGTTCAAGACCAGCCTGGGCAACATAGTGAGATCTCATTTCTACAAAAACCACAAAAATTAGCTGGGTGTGGTGGCACATGCCTATAGTCCCAGCTACTCAGGAGGCTGAGACAAGATCACTTGAGGCCAGCAGGTAGAGGCTGCAGTGAACTGGAATTGTATTCCCACACTCTAGCCTAGGTAACAGAATAAGATCCTGCCTCAAAAAAAAAAAAAAATCAAAATTTGAAATATGGTTTCTGCTGAATATGTATTGCTTTCACACCATTGTCAAGTCAAAAGTTGTGAGTCAAGCTATCGTAAGTCGTGGACCGTCTGTATGCGTCTGGCTTGCCTTCCATGGGTGTTGGGAGAAATTAACAAAATAACATCTGTTCTGGTACTTGGAAACTGAAAAGTGCCATGGAAGCATATGGCCCTGATTAACTTCCTTATTATTCTGTAAATTAAAGGGAGTAATTATATCTATATGTGGGAGAATATGGGAGCCTGTCATAATCCCTAAAGTCACAGTCCCAAGCACCATAATCCTGAATGTCAAAATCCTTAAAGATAATGCCGGGCTCGGTGGCTCAGCCTGTAATCCCGTGCTTTGGGAGACCGAGGTGAGTGGATTACCTGAGACTGCGGGTTCGAGACCCTCCTGGGCAACTTGGCGAGACCTTATCTCCACAATAAATCAAAAAATTAGCCGGGCGTGGTAGCGTGCACCTGTAGTTCCAGCTACTTGGAAGGCTGAGGTGGAAGGATCGCCGGAGTCCAGTGGGTTGAGGCTGCGGTGGCCGGGAGCGGCCACTGCACTCCAGTCTGGGCGACAGAGTGAGACTCCAACTCAAAAAAAAAAAAAAAAAAAAATCCTGAAAGATCAAAATTCCAGAAATATAATTCTGAAAAAAATAACAAAGCCTCATTTACAAGACATGTATTTGCCTTTTTAAAAGAGGAGTTGAGAAATGTATAGAAACATGACTAGACACTTGATAGGCCATTTCACATAATAAAATAAGCAATAATAATATATTTTTGCAAGCATAAACACCTAAGTGTACTAAAGACAGTCACATGGATATAAATTATGAGCAGATGAACTGCATTCATAAAGAAATAGGTCAAAAAGGGAAATGTTTAGCCACACGCAGTGGCTCACATCAGTAATCCCAGCACTTTGGGAGACTGAGGTGAGATGATTGCCTGAGCCTGGAAGTTGGAGACCAGTCTGGCAATATAGTGAGACCTCGTCTCTACAAAAACTAAAAAATTAGTCAGTATAGTGGTGCATGCCTGTAGTCCCAGCTACTTGGGAAGCTGAGGCAGAAGGATCGCCTGAGCCCAAAAGGTTGAGGCCGAGGTGAGCCATGACCATGCCACTGCACTCCAGTCTGGGCATCATAGCGAGACCCCAACTCAGGAAAAAAAAAAGGAAAATGTTTAAACACATCTCATTATGGTTGGTAATTGTGTGCACCCAGCTCTGTAACTAGTCAGCTGAAAATCTGAAATGCTGTGATGAAAACCCAAGTCTTTTGATGAGATTGACCGAAACCCATTATGGGTCACTACCACATATGCAGTTGCCCAAAGAGTCGAGATCCTGAGAAATTTTATCTTTGACAAGTGCAGATGTACAAAAAGGAGATCTTTCCATTAACTGAGGCAGTCTCAACATTTTTTACGTGTGTGCACATTGCTTACACACAAAGTTGGCATTGTGATAGTGCCCTTTGGTAGAGTCAAATTTGCAAAAAATGTTTAAGACAAATTAGAACTCTAAAAGTCTCACACAATGTATACCTCCAGTATTAGAAATGATGCGAAGATGAAACACTTAGCGTAGCAAATTGTGCTCTGTGTGAAGGGGCAGAAATCATACCCAGCTGAGTAATCTGGCGGGGGAGATTGCTTGTGTTTTTCACCTGAGTTTTTAATTCTGTGATCTTTGAAACACTGACTACACTTGTATTTGTGGTCAACAAACTTTGTGAGGCAACGCTGCCCACTTGAAATTTTGCATATTGCTTGGCCATTACAAATTAAGCAATTTTCTGCTTTTGCAGCACCAATAATAATATTTTAAACCTTTCCCCATTAAGGAGCCTCCTGCTCTCATCACAGCCTTTTTGTGAAGGAACAGTTTCACAGATCTCTTCCATTATATTGTAAGGAATATGGTAAGAAGGAATGCTGTTTGGCTTCCCTGTGACCAAATCTGTATTTTCAAGGTTGTCCAAGGAGGCAGAACCAACAGGATGTGTATATAGACCCATGAGAGGGGGTTTATTAGGGAATTTGGCTCACATGATTATGGAGACTGAGAAGTCCCATGACAGGCTATCTACAACAGTGGTCCCCAACTTTTTTGGCATCAGGGACTAATTTCGTGGAAGACAGTTTTTCCATGGACTGGGGAAAGGGGTGGTTTTGATTAAAAATGCATAATATTTATTGTGTGCTTTATTTATATTATTATTACATTGTAATATATAATTAAATAATTATACAACTCACCATAAAAAGCAAAAGAGGTGCAGATGGAAGTGGTAAATAAAATAATGGGTGGCCCACGCACAGAGTAAAATAAGTGTCAGTTTCTGACTTAAAGCCTGCCACCAGATGCGGCTGTACAATTGAAGTACATCAACTCACTTGCTACTCACTGATGGGGTTTGATAGAAGTCTGCAAGTGATTGGTTTATTATGGTCTCTGTACAGTCAGACCCCAGTGCTAATGTTAATCTGTATTTGCAGCCACTCCCCAGTGCTAGTATCACCATCAGCTCCACCTCAGATCATAAGGCATTAGATTCTCATAAGGAATGTGCAACCAAGATCCCTCTAACGTGCAGTTTAAAATGGGGTTCACACTCCTATGAGAATCTAATGTGAGCAATGGCGAGCGGCTGTTAATACAGATGAAAATTTGTTCACTTGCCCACTGCTCAGCTCCTGCTGTGCAGCCCAGTTCCCAACAGGACTGGTGCCCTGATCTACAAGCTGGAGACACTGGGATGTCAGTGGCATGACTCAGTCCATATTCAAGGGCCTCAAAACCAGAAAAGTTGATGGTATAACTCTTAGTTCAAGACTGAAAAACCTCAAGTCCTGGGGAGCTGCTGGTGCAAGTCCTGGAGTCCACAGGCTGGTGGGTCTGGAATTCTGATGTCCAAAGCAGCAGAAGAAAGTCTGTTCCAGCCCTCAGAGAGACCATTTCACCTTCTATATTTGTCCTCTTTGACCCTGGCTGATCGAATGGTGCCCGCCACCATTGAGGGCAGATATTTTCTTTCTTTCTTTAAGCTGTATTTATTTAAATTTTATTTTAAAGATGTGGAGGCTGGACTCGGTGGCTCAGCCTACAATCCCAGCACTTTGGGAGGCCGAGGTGAGTGGATTGCCTGAGCTCGCTGGTTTGAGACCAGCCCGGGCAACTTGGTGAGACTCGTCTCTACAATAAAATAAAAAATAGCCAGGCATGGTAGCACATGTCTGTAGTTCCGGGTTACTCAGAAGGCTGAGGCGGAAGGATCGCTGAAGCCCTTCTAGAAGGTCAATGCTGGGGTGGCCATGAGCGTGCATGCCACTGCACTTCAGCCTGGGTGAAGGAGTGAGACGCCAACTTAAAAAAAAATGTGAAATACAGTTCAGGATTAGGTATATAAGTGGACATTGTACAGGTAAAGTTTGGGCTTCCCTTTGGTTCCCACTTTGCCTGGTTTGAAATCAGGTCCCTACTCCCACCCCAGCAGTATCCCACTACTGCCAATCCCTTTCTTATAGTATTATGGTAAATGTTCAGGGTCCGCTTATGAATGAGAACATATGGTACTCTGTTCTTTGTTTCTGTGATAGATTGCTGAGTATTATAGACTCATCCATCCAAGTTGCTGCAAAGTCCATACGTTTGTCCCTCTTTATGACTGCATAATATTTCACTGTGTATATGTCCTACACTTTTTAAAAATCCAGTCCAGAAGACAGATACTTTCTATCTAACCCACTCAGACTCACACACTAATCTCCTCTGGAAACACCCTCATGACCACACCCAAAATTATGCTTTACCAGGTTCTCTTTTTTTTTTTCCTTCTTTAGTTAGAGTCTCACTCTGTCGCCCAGGCTGGAGTGCAGTGGCATGCTCACAGCCACCACAGCCCCGACCTGCTGGGCTCAGGTGATCCTTCCGCCTCAGCCTTCCAAGTTGTTGGAACTACAGACACATGCCACAACACTCGGCTAATTTTTGTGATTTATTGTAGAGATGAGGTCTCACCAAGTTGCCCAGGCTGGTCTCGAACCCCTAGGCTCAGGCTTACTAGGTTTTCCTTAATCCAGTCAAGTTGACACCTAAAAATTAAGTCCACAAACTCGGTGGCTCAGCCTGTAATTCTGCGCCTTTGGGAGGCTGTCCCGCGCCTTTGGGAGGCTGAGGTGAGCAGATTGCCTGAGCCTGCGGGTTCGAGACCCACCTGGGCAACTTGGCGAGACCTCATCTCTACAATAAATCAAAAATCAGCTGGGCGTGGTAGCGCATGCCTGTAATTCCGGCTACTTGGAAGGCTGAGGCGGAAGGATTGCCCGAGCCCAGCGAGTCGAGGCTGTGGTGGCCAGGAGCAGCCACTGCACTCCAGTCTGGGCGACGGAGTGAAAACTCCAACTCAAAAAAAAAAAAAAAAAAAGAAAATTAAGTCCACACATCTACTCCCTGTCAACTTGGCACCCATATACATCTCCTTATACCAAAGTCCGGCCAGTTGCAGTGACTCACACCTGTAATCCCTAGCACTTTGGGAGGCTGAGGCAAGAGGATTGCTTGAGCTCAATAGTTCAAGATCAGCCTGGGCAACATAGCAAGACCTCATCTCTACAAAAATTTAAAAAATTAACCAAGCATGGTGGTGTGTGCCTGTAGTCCCAGCTACTTAGGAGACTGAGGCAGAAAGATTGCTGAGCCCAGGAGGTTGAGGCTACCATGAACCATGATTGTGCCACTGCCCTCCAGTCTGGGTGACAGAGTAAGACCCAGACTCAAAAAAAAAAAAGAATTAATTTCCAAGTAAAAACAATAATATTCCTTCTAACATGATGCTACTAACCTGTAATTGTGATTTTGGGGATTTTAGACTTTAGGGATTTCAACATTTGGGATTATGTCAGAGACTCTGGGGTGACCTTCAAAATCCTGCTGTACTTTCTCCTTGAAATTTTAAATTTCCCAAAGTTTTTCCAGCACCTATGTGCTCAAGATATATGGGGGTGCCAAAAAAAAAAAAAATGTATACACATTTTAAGTATGACATTCACTCAGAAGATGGCATTAATCAAATGAATGCAGGTGTCACCATGTGACAGGCAGGACAGTCAAATAAAATAGCAGAAACATGGTTGAGTGAATGTTATATTACATATTGCTACCATAATTTAATTCAACTTCACAAAGTAATGCAGATAACATCGTTTAAAATGTGTATACATTTTTTGGGCGCTCTGGTATTTCTTGGATAGATGGTGATTGGAGGTATAGTTAGATGAATGGACGTTTAGTGGGTGGATGCTTAGATGAATGGATGGATGGATGAACTGAGAGAATGGATGGGTGGATGAATGGATGAGTGGGGCTGGAGAGAATGGATGAGATGAGATGTGGAGGCGGAAGCGATCTCCTTTCTGTTGGTTTGTTCTCTCATTTTCTTCTCTCCTCTGCTTTGGGAGTCAGAACTCCCTGGCTCCAGACTGGTGACCTTGTGCCTTGTTCCCACCTCATCTCCTGTGCCACGTGCATTCTGCCCATGTTGGCGTCCCTTCTGCATGGAGGGTGGATGGGACCATCAGGGAAAGGGGTTAAACAAGCGGTAATTTACTTGCATACAATCTCCGAGCCAACGAAATGCCAGTCATCATTTCTAAGTGGTGGTTGTCATCTTGTCAACAACTCACTGAATGCTCCTTCCTTCGACATTAATGTCAAAACACAGAGGAGAGACGCTGAGTGAAGAGGATGCCTGCTTCTTGGGAGGACTGTGGTCTCCACACCTCCAGACTCGCATGCACACACCCACACCCGCATGCACCCTGAGCACTCACAACCATAAGAACTCACACCCCCACACCCATCTGCCAGTGTTTTGGGGCCGGTATCCTGGAGACTACTGGGGCAAACACACATCATCAAACATAACTCTCATCTCTCTCCTTCTGTCTCTGTTTTAGTTACAGGAACTTGGTCAGTTTAAAGGATTTAATAAGTCCGTGGAAAATTTGTTTCTGTCTGTTGCCACCCACATGAAAAGTAAGTGGATGCCTCATGATGTGTTTTTCCCACCACCCTCCAGACCAGCCAAGCCCACTGACCAGGGATGGGACTGTCCCTGGGACAGGGCACTCACTTTGTGTCTGAACCCTGAAGAAAGCCACAGCACCTGACCCTTTATGACTTCTTCCATAAAGCAGGCCTCCAGTTCCTTGGGGAAAGGCGAATGCAATTCAGTCCACCGGGCGGGCTCCTGCTCCTGCCAAAAGCCTGCCTAGCTCAGCATCTTGAGCAAAGGAGCCTGACACATTTTAGACTCTCTTGAGAACCTACAGAGAAAGCATAAAGATATGATTCCAGAGATCTACAAGCAGAAACTTTCCAGTCTGGCAGGGTGCAGTGTCTGTCATTTGCATGGAATTGCTTGTGCCTTCTTCTCTCCTTGGCCAATGTATTTTCTTATCAGTGGTAATCCTGGGATTTGCAGACAAGAGTAACCAGAATTACCACTGCTTGAAGTCTTGTCTCTTTTGGAACTTTTTCTGCTCAGATATTTTTTCCCCTGTTTATCTCAAAATGCAAGTCCCAGAGAACAGACCCAGTCTCATGCTTCCTAAGATACCCAGGGCCAATCAGGCATCTAGAAAACGTCCTCAGTGGGCTTGGGGGTAATCAGGCATCGATTTCTCTTTCACCACGTTTCTGTTTGGCTGCTTTTCATCATCCCTTTCTCTGTAATTGCACATGAACGGTCCCACTGTTGAGCCTTAGCTCTGAGACCATCTTATTATTTGATTTTAATGAGTTATCTATTTCCTCATGAGCCCTGGCAAACCTGTCACATGATGACCGTGGAAATCAAAGGACTGCTCTTCAGATCGGCAGAAACAGTGACTATCTCAAGCAATGGCCCTGTTCCCTTCTCTTTCAGAAGGGAGGGAGCAGTTGAATGTCATGGGCCTATTTGCTAACAGCACCAGAGGTTTAAAAATCACTGCTGTCACCCCATTAGCTCTCCGATGGTCCCCATAATCCCCTCCCCAACTCTGCATCCCTCAGCCTGGGACACGTTTTCTGGTTGTTATGTCCACCTGCACTCTGGTAGCAGCTCTCTCCCACCAATGTCCTGCTGGTCAGTCCCTCTCTGCATGTCTTTCCTGACACACAGTCGCTCTCTCACTGTGTGGCTTTGCGAATTCCCTTCCACCTCCCTCTGCTACCTCGGAGTCAATGCCTTGCAGTTAGTCCCGTGCTGTAATCCTTCAGCCTCAAAAGTCTAGAGAGGCTGACACGTGTGCTCACATGTGTCAGCACGTGCTCTCCTTCCCGGCCCCACCGGCCCCACACGCAGGGTACCCTCAAAGTGCTCACAGCTACCAAATGGTCACTCCAACCTGGCCTGTATGTCTCCTCCCACGACTGAGCTGGCCAGTTGAGTACCCAGGTGGATAACTATACAATTTAAAATTGCATATGTGGGGCAACCCTCTCAGGTCCTCTCCCACTCTGGGAGCTTTTCTTTTCTTTTTTTTTTTTTTTTTGAGTTGGAGTCTCACTCTGTCGCCCAGACTGGAGTGCAGTGGCCACTCCCGGCCACCACAGCCTCGACCTGCTGGGCTCCGGCGATCCTTCCACCTCAGCCTTCCAAGTAGCCGGAATTACAGGCATGCGCTACCACACCCAGCTGATTTTTTGATTTCTTGTAGAGATGAGGTCTCGCTGCCCAGGCGGGTCTCGAACCCGCAGGCTCAGGCAATCGGCTCACCTCAGCCTCCCAAAGGCACGAGATTACAGGCTGAGCCACCGAGCCCGGCTTCTGGGAGCTTTTCAGTTCTCTCAATAAATCCTGCTTTAAAAAAAAAAATTACATATGTGGACTGGATGCGGTGGCTAACACCTGTAATCCCAGCACCTTGGGGGGCCGAGGCAGGAGAGTCGCTTGAGCCCAGGAGTTCAAGACCAACCTGGGCAACATAGTGAGACCTTGTTTCTACAAAAAAAATAAAACAATGAGTCGGCCATGGTGGTGCCTGCCAGTAGTCCCAGCTACTCGGGAGGCTGAGGTGGAAGGATTACCTGATCCCAGGGAGTCGAGGCTGCAGTGAGCCATGATGGTGCCACTGCTCTCTAGCCTGGAGAACAGAATGTGACTTCCTCTTAAAAAATAATATTAATACTAACAAATAAAATTACATATGTGACTTGTATTATGTCTGTTCTGGGCTGCACTGCTCGAGAGAAGGTTTTAAGGCCCATGCTTGAAATAAATGAGGCTCTCAAGGGTGTGTATGGGGGTGGAAAAAAGGAAGTGCTTTTGGAGGAAGAAACCATTTTTAAGGTGGTTTCTCACCTCTGTAGGTGGCTTCCTTCCTCCACACTTATTTATCTTTTTTTTTTTTTGAGTTGGAGTCTCTTTGTTGCCTAGGCTGGAGTGCAGTGGCATGCTCACAGCCACCGCAGCCTCGACCTGCTAGGCTCGGGCGATTCTTCCACCTCAGCCTTCCAAGTAACTGGAACTACAGATGTATACCATCACACCCGGCTAATTTTTCTTGATTTATTGTAGGGACAAGGTGTTGCCAAGTTGCCCAGGCTGGTCCCGAACCCATGGGCTCAGGCAATCCTTTCTCCTCCACCTCTCAAAGTACTGGGATTACAGGCATGAGCCACTCCACCCAGCTACACTTATTCATCTTTATTCTAGACCACTATTACACTGCAAAAACCAAAAAAAAAATTTTTAAGTCGCCTTTTCAGGGTTTGCTGAAAATAACATAATTATGCGGGGGAGTTGGCAGGAGCTAAGCCTTGCATGTCCCTTCTCAGATGTCGAAAGTTGACTGACACTCCATAACCTGTGTCCCCTTCCCACCCCCCCCGCCCTCAACCCAGAGGCAGGGATAGAAAGATCCAGCTTTCTGGCTCCTGGGTGTGACACTAGACCTTAGACCTTTCCTGAGTGCTTCCCTTGGCTCCACAGGGGTGGGACATGTGTCTACACACGTACCCATCATCCTGTCTCTGCCATTGGACATGTATCATCTTGCAGGTGCTGGTTTGCATTTCTTTAGGTTTTAAGCTCCTCTTCAGGTGTCCTGGTGCAGAGAAAAGTCTCCTCCTGGCGGAAGGAAGTCAGGTTAGACCCTGGGGCCCACAGGAAGGGGCTGTGAAGGGCCCCGACTCTCCTGGGAGCAGGGGCCTGGATGCTGGAAGGAGGCCTTGGCTCCCCGGTTTTGAAGCTGACTCAAAATCACAAGCTCTGGCTGCCTATGTTGCCTGATGAAACCAAACCAGCTGGAAGAAATGAGTTATTCCAGCTCTTCATTATCAGGACATGTCTAGGAGACGCCAGCATCAGGGTCCATTTACAAGGGGAAGAAGACATAAGAAAATGCTCGCTGGGCATGGTGGCTCCCGCCTGTAATTCGAGCACTTTGGGAGGTGGAGGCAAGAGGATTGTCTGAGCCCAAGGGTTCGATACCAGCCTGGGCAACTTGGCGAGACCTCGTCTCTACAATAAATCAAAAAAATTAACCAGGCATGGTGGTATACACCTGTAGTACCAGCTACTTGGAAGGGTGAGGCAAAAGGATCACCTGAACCCAGCAGGTCAAGGCTGTGGCGGCCATGGGCTGCCACTGCACTCCAGTCTGGGTGACAGAGTGAGACTCTGACTCAAAAAAAAGAAAATTAATTCCAGCTCAGGAACCGTCTGTGTTTCTGTCTTTCTCCCCAATAATAAACATTGCCCACTCATTAGGACTCAGTTGCATAGGAGGGCACTTCCTTCCCTGCAGTCTGTGAACTTTAAATGGATCTAGTAGGCATAGGCATGGGGGGTGGGGACTACCAGACAGCTGGGGGCCAACACCTCCCTGGGTCTTAGAAATGAGAGCCTCTCAAGCCCCACACCCCAGGCAGGGATTTGGTCATCTGAGAGGGACATTTGCCCTGACCACTGTGAGGACCTACTCTGCTTGAGTGTTTTGAGCTGCTAGACATAGCAGGATGCTCAGCGTTTCTGGATGGTGCCTTGAGAAATGAGACTGACCTTGGAAAAGTGGACAGCCCAGGGGCTTGGGAGCAGGGGAGGCATTTCCCTCTCAAGGAGAGAGAATTGCCCCTGGGCAGTGCAGGCACAAGACCCCTACTGAAGAGCGAGAGGATTTGCACAGTTACATCCCCATGAATGGATCGGAAGCCAGAGGTTGGCTTGGAGCTGCCCTGTCTACACAGCAGCTCCTAAGCCCATATAGCTCTTGGGCCACTGAAATATGGCTACAAGATGGCCCGCCAGAGTAAAGCACACACTGGATTTCATAGGCTTGGGATAAAACAAAAGTAAAATATTTCAAGAATAACTTTAATGTTGATTGCATGTTTTACCAATATTTTGGATATATTGTGTTAAACTAAATACAGAATTGAAATTTACCTGTTTCTTTTTACACTTTTAATATGTCTACTATAAAATTTAACATTACATATGTGAGCTGAGCATGGTGGTTCTCACCTGGAATCCCAGCATTTTAGGAAGCCAAGGTGGGAGGATTGCTTGAGCCCAGAAGCTTGAGTCCAGCCTAGGCAACATAGCAAGGTCTCATCTCTGCAAGAATAAAAAAAATTAGCTGGGTGTGGTGGTCCATGCCTACAGCCCCAGCTACTTGGGAGGCTGAGATGGAAGGATCATCTGAGCCCAGAGGGTTGAGGCTGCCATGAGCTGTGATTGTGCCGCTGTGATTGTGCCACTGCACTCTAACCTGGGTGACAGAGTGAAACCCCAACTCAAAAAAAATTACTAATAATACTAAAATAAAATTACATATGTGGCTTGCATTATGTCTCTACTGGGCAGCACTGCTCTAGAGACAGGTTTAAGGTCCATATTTGAGAGAAATGAGGCTCTCAAGGGGGGAAAAAGGAAGTGTTTTGGGGGGAAGAAACCATTTTTAGGGTGGCCTCACCTCTGTGGGTGGCTTCCTTCCTTCACACTTACTTATTTTTATTCTAGACCACTCTTCCACTGCAAAAACAAAACCAAAGAATTTTAAGTCATTTTTTTTCAGAGTTTGTTTGCTAAAATAATTATGAGGACACCCCAAATCTTATTCTCACTCTGCTTGAAAGAGTCACAAGAAAGAGAATATAGTTGGAAAATCTTTGTAAGGAATCCCTAGAAAGCTGGCTTGTTTGGTAGGCAGCCATCTTGGTGTTTGCTGGCTTCAAGGCCACACCCAAGGCAAGGGGCTTCCTGCAGGGTCCGCACTTGCCAAGTTATTCCCGGCATCTGCAAGGCTCACGACCTTTGGTTGAAATCGGTCCTAGTCTCAGATGGAAGCTACAGAAACTTTAAGTCTGCAGCATGTGGGGACTCTCTCGGGGGTCTAAACCCCAAGAGAAAACACACCTGATAAGGACATTATTTAAGGAAATAATGACTCTAACTTTCCACCAGGATTAACCAGGCCTGAAGTGAATGCACTGGGGCATGACAGAAAGCCAACTTTAGAATCAGAAAGCATATACTTGTTTGTGTGACCTGAATGCAGAGGAGCTTGGGTGGGAGATCCCTCTTTAACTCCCACCCTGACAGTGGCCAATGTGACCACAGGGAAGCCTTGAAGGGATCCAGCCCTCTCCTGCAATCCCCATCCTGCACACAGTGTCTGGTCACCCTCCTTGTGCCTGTGCCTTGTGAGGGACGGGCTGCCCTTGCCCCTCCGTGCACTTAGCCTGCCCAGGACCTCGGGGCCACAGTCTGTGGGCTCAGGGAATCCCAGAAGAGGCTCCCACATGACTTGGTAAAGCTCCACGTTCCCTCCTGTCACCCCTTGTATTTGTTTTTCAGAGCTGTCCAAGTCCCAGAATGACATGACTTCTGAGAGGCATCTTCTAGCCACGGGCCCCAGGCAGTGTTCGGGCCGGACAGAGAGAAGGAGCCAGTCTGACACTGCTGTCAACGTCACCACCAGGGTACCCTGAGGCCCACTGGGCCTCCGCGCCGGTCACCTTCACGTTGTCATTTCAGAGCTCTCTAGCCCGATTTCTCTGTAGATTTACTTTTCCTTTGGTCGTGTGGATGAACATTAAGCTGTCAGAAAAATGTTATTATAAACTCCTCTATTGGGCAGGCCCTGGCAGAAGGAAGGCCAGAATTCAGGAGTGACCTGGAGGACCCTTAAGCTCAGGGAAAGGCTTTCGCCTAAGCCCGAGCCCCTGAGGCTCCCTGCTGGTTTCAAGGCCACACCCAAGGCAAGGGGCTTTCTGCAGGGCCCGCACTTGCCAAGTTATTCCCAGGGCCTGCAAGGCCCACAACCTTTGGTTGAAATCAGTTCTGGTCTCAGATGGAAGCTACTGAAACTTTAAGTCTGCACCATCATGTGCAAGCATGTGGGGACTCTCCCAGGTATCTAAACCCCAAGAGAAAGCACACGTGATAAGGACATTATTTAGGGAAATAATGACTCTAACTTTCCACCAGGATTAACCAGGCCTGAAGTGAATGCACTGGGGCATGAGAGAAAGCCACCTTTAGAATCAGAAAACCTATAATCCTAGCGCTGTGGGAGGCCAAGTCTAGAGGACTGCTTGAGACCAGGAGTTCAAGACCAGTCTGGGGAACATAGCAAGACCCAGTCTCTGCAAAAAATTTAAAAAAATTAGCGTGGGCATGGTGGCGTGTACCTACAGTCCCAGCTACTCAGGAGGCTGAGGCAGGAGGAATGATTTGAGTCCAGGAGCTCAAGGCTACAGTGAGCTATGATGACACCACTGCACTGCAGCATGGGTGGCAGAGTAAGACTCTACCTCTAAAAAATATAAAACAAATAAACATAGAATCAGAAAACCTGGGATCTCCTTCGGTCGAGGTGCTCTGACTGGTCAGGTGTCACTGGCTATCGTTTGCAGGGTTATTGCCCTGGATGGCTGGACAGGACAGCTGCTCCTTCTCTGTGGCTGTGTGCTCCATTCAAGATGTCCCCAGACAGACTGTCCTTTAGGCGAGGGTGTGAGGTTGGCACCACTCTCCTGCTGGAACTTGTAGCCAGGCTTTCAAGAGTTCACACTCTGCCCCATCTGCCACCCTCCTCCTGAGTCCCACATGTCCCTTGTAAAATGGCGATGATGATGATTGACAGCTGTTCTGCCCACGGTGCAAGGTTCTTATAAACATCCACGAGATAATATAGTAGCGTTCGATTTGCCATCTAAGTCATCTAAATAGATCATCTAAATTGCCAGCATGTATTATTATGTACCAGACTTGACTAAAAGCACTTCCCGGACTGTCTCATTTTATTCTCACAACCTCCCCATAAGGTAGGTATTACTTGTGATCCCATTTTACCTTTAGGGAAACAGAGGCTTAGAGAGAGTAAGTTACAGGCCCAAGGTGACATATCCAGAAAGTAGCCAGCTGGGGTTTGAAGGGACTGTCAGCTCTCACTGGGTCTCCTGTTAAAATTCAGATTCCAAATCAGAAGATCTAGGGTGGGTGTGAGGTGCCAACCCCAGATGCACTTCCAGTGAGTCCCTAGAGGATCAGGGGAAGTCCACGGGGCTGGCCTGAGGCCACGATTCAGGAGGGAGGTGTCCCCAGGGTCTGAGGCAGATCTGGCAGGTCTTTGAAATTCTAAAGCACAAACAAGCATCCTGCCTTCCCAGGGCCCACGGTTGCACCATCCAAACTCCATCCCAGGATCAGCCTTTCTCCTTAAGTGAGACAGGTCAAAGGGAGGGCTACTGTAACAATTTATGCAGCACTATTTCTGAGCATAATGGCAATGTTTTTTTAAACATACTTTATCACATTTAATTCTTACAAAAATACCAAGGAAGGCCAGGTGTGGTGGCTCATACCTATAATCACCAGCACTTTGGGAAGGATAGAAGGATCACTTGAACCCAGGAGTTTGAACCCAGCCTGAGCAACAAAGTGAGACCCTGTCTCTACAAAAAAAAAAAAAAAAATTGAGTGAGTGTGGTGGTGCATGCCTGCAGTCCAGCTATTCAGGAGACTGAGGTGGAAGGATCACCTGAGCCCAGGAAGTCGTGGCTGCAGTGAGTCATGATGGTACCATTGCGCTCCAACCTGGGTGACAGGGTGAGAACCTGACTCAAAAAAACCCCCCCAAAACCTAAGAAGGTTGTGACTCCCATGATGATGATCAAGAGCCCGAGTTTTAGTGGGTTAATCAACTTGTCTAATGTCACATGGTGAATAAAAGATGGAGCCGGGAGCAGACCCCGGGACTGTGTGATTCTAAAATCTGAACATTTATGTTCATATAAGAACAAACGAGGGCCACTGAAGAAAACAGGAAGGAGATTCTGGAAGTGAGAATAATTCTCTTACTGGCCTGGGTTAGATGAAGCCACTTTGATGCTAACATTGACTAAGGACTAGCAAGAGACCAACATTGTTCCAGGATAATGCCCTTATAGGTATTTATCCTTTAAAAAAATTTTTGTGTTTTATGTATTTTAATTTAATTTAATTTTGAGTCAGGGTCTCAGTCTGTCACCCAGGCTGCAGCATACCTGGGCTCAGGTGATCCTCCTGCCTCAACCTCCTGAGTAGCTAGGACTATAGGCGTACAGCACCATACCTCGCTAATTTTTAATTTTTTATAGATACAAGGTCTCGCTATGTTGTTTAGGCTGGTCTCAAACCTCTGGACTTAAGCAATCCTTCCGCTTTAGCGTCTCAAAGTTCTGAGATTACAGCCATGAGCCACTGCACCTCGTGGTGTTTAACCTTTTAAATCCTTAAAACAACCCCATGAGGTTGGTACTATTGCTGTCCCCATTGATGATGAGGCCACTGGGCAAAGAGATGGCCAAGGGCTAGGTAGAGGCTGCTCCTGAGACCACCCCCGACACCCTGCCCTGGGTGCCTGTGTGCGTGACTCAGGGCCTGTCCAGTACTGACCATAGCTGTCTGATGTGCTATGGGAGTTCAAGGATAGAAGTGAGGAGAACGGAAGGGGGCCTTGGGGAGAGCCCCATCCCCATGAACACTTGGTTGTATGTGTGTCCACTTTGCTGCCATACTCTTGGCCAGACATGCTCACGGCTCTTTGCAAGCCTTCTTTCTCCCCACCTTAATTGAGGCAATGGCTGGTTTAAGGAGTGATGTAGCCAAATGTTTATAAAGTACTCAGCAATCATGGCATGATCTATAAAAGCTAAATAATGGTTGAGTTGACATACAAGGAGCACATCTTTAAATAGACATTCGTCAGACTACAGTTACACATGCCCTAGCTGGTGAGCTCACCACAACCACACTTGGTCTCACCAGAACCTTTGGGAGCATTTTGCCAACATTAATTATACAGCACTGGCCAAGCAGGGTGGCTCATACCTATAATCCCAGTACTTTGGGAGGCTGAGGTGGGAGGATTGCTTGAGCCCAGGAATTTGAGACCAGCCTGGGCCACATAGTGATACCTTGCTTCTACAAAAAAAATTTTTAAATTAGCCAGGTGTGGTGGTGTACACCTGTAGTCCCCACGACTCGGGAGGCTGAGGTGGATCGCCTGAGCTCAGGAGGGCAAGACTGCAGTGATCCAGTATCTCACCACTGCACTTCAGCCTGGGCAACACAGTGAGACCCTTCAGAAGTAAGGGATGCCAGTGCCCACCTTGTAGGTGGCTACGTTGAGGCACAGAAGTAGTAGGTAACTTTTTTCTTTTTTTTTTTTAGATTAGAAAATATAGTTTATTTAAAAGGTAAATTAGAGAGAGAGTGAGAAAGAAAGAGGAGATTCACCTCTCCAAGGCAGGGAAGGGGGCCAAAGCCAGGAAGCATGGCAACAGCCATAACTCAAAGAGCACATGGCTACACCAGAGTCTCTAGTAAGGCCCTGGCCGTAGGTAACTTTCTGAAGAGCACATGGTGACTTAGGGATGTCAACTGAAAATCAGGTCACAATTTCTTTCATGCCACTTCTCTGGCCACTAAGTATGAACTACACATTCTGAAAATGCTCCTGCAGAGACACTCACAGAAGCACCTAGGCCAGGATTCTTCAAAAAGTGAATTCTCCTCACCTCCCCTCTCATGGGATTTTATTGTACATGTTATGAATGCATGGGTGAGCTATATTGGCCATAAAAGCATGCACCCCAGCCGGGCCTGGTGACTCACACCTGTAATCCCAGCACTTTAGGAGAGGTGGGAGGATCACTTGAGCCCAGGAGTTCAAGACCAGCCTGGGCAACATAGTAAGACTCCCATGTCTACAAGTAAAAAATAAAACAAATAAACAATTTTTTTTAAATGCACCTATTAAACAGGAATAATGTGTAAAAACTGTCAAGAAGGGCTATCTTTAGAGAGGGGACTGAGGACAAAGGTAGGGAAAGAAGACGTTATTTCATTCTAGTCGGTGCCTTATGCAGAGCTTATCCTATGCACACCGGAGACCTAAGGAAACAACCGACCCTAGCCTTGGCCTTTCCCGCTCATCTTCTCTTGTCGCACCCCAAGGGCTGAGCCAGGGGAGAAGGGCCTGGGGAAGAACAGGGCCTGGGGAGCTGCAGTGGTGTTTCTCACTGATAAACGCTTGCTTGGCCTCAGGTGTAGGGGCATCTGGTCCTGCCAGTGGTTTGTGGTGGGCTACTTTACAGCTGGGGCTTACCCTTACTCAGAGCGTGTATCAGGGCCAGGCCAAGCCTGAGGGTTTTTCCTGTGCCTGAGTCGGTATTTGTGTTAAAAGGCAGCCCTGAGATGGCATCTCAGAGGTGGCACTTGTGACTGTTTCCTATGTTCTTAGATCAGCAAAAAACCCCAATACACACATTTTGCTTCATTCTAGAGAGTCCGTAATTTGATCAAATGAAGCCTAACATTTATTGAGCTTTCCCCATATAATGTTAAACTTAATGACTCATTGCAGAGTAGATCTCATTCAGGGCAACTGTTTTTTCTCTATAATCTGGTCAAAACAGGAGAGTTTAAAATGCATTTTAAATCACGGGGCTAAGCGTGGAGGCTCATGCCTGTAATCTCAGCACTTTGGGAGGCCAAGGCAAGAGGACTGTTTTGAGTTCAGGAGTTTGAGACCAGCCTAAGCAATATAGCAAGATTTTGTTTTGAAAATTTTTTTTTTTTTTGAGTTGGATTCTCACTCTGTCGCCCAGTTCATGGCCACCGCAGCCTTGACCTGCTGGGCTCAGGTGTTCCTTCCGCCTCAGTATTTCAAATAGCTGGAACTATTGGCACATGTCATCACACCTGGCTCATTTTTTGGTTTATTGCAGAGATGAGGTCTCGCCAAGTTGCCCAAGGTGGTCTTGAACCTGTGGGCTCAGGCAATCTTCTCACCTCAGCCTCCCGAAGTGCTGGGATTATAGGCGTGAGCCACCATGCCCAACCGGCCAAAAAAAAAAAAATTTAAAGCTGGGCGTGGTGGTGTGCACCTACTACTTGGGAGGCTGAGGTGGAAGGATCACCTGCACCCAGGAATTGGAGGCTGCAGTGAACCATGATCATGTCACTGCACTCCAGCCTGGGTGATAGAGTAAGACCCCAACTCAAAAAAAAAAAAAAGAAAATCACCGGGAGGAAAAAAAAGGCCTGTCTCAATGACATTGGTAAGTAGCTATTTGAACTTTGAGGCCCCTCAATAGAGCACTGACTCTCACAATGTCATCCAAGTCCCTTAGAATTTACTGGGGGAGAATTGAACATACAGAATTTCAAGTTGAACACCTTAGTCAATCAAAATAGGCATTTCCTTTGGAAGAGTATTGACTTTTCTAATAATTCCGAGATATTTGTATTTACATTTAAAATTCATTAAATGTTTTCCAGTGTCCTGACATGTTTAGACACATAATCTTCTCTGGTTCTGAATTTGAGGTTCCACGTATAATCTCTATTTTAAACATAGTTCTCTTTGTTCCTTTTCAGAGTGTTCTGTCATCAATTTTTTTATGATTCAAAAAATGTGTATTAAACACTATATGAGTCATCTCTGACTGCCATAACAAAATGCTGCAGACTAGGTGACTTAAACAACAGACATTAATTTTCTCACAGTTCTGAGGTTCGAGGTCCGGGAGCTTCAGTGTCTGGGTCCTGGGCAGAGCCCTGCTCCTGACTTGTAGACTGCTGCCTTCCTGCTGTGTTTCCATGTGGGGTGTGAGGAAGGAAGTGAACTCACTGTTGTCTCTTTTTATAAGGGTACTAATGCTCTCATTTCTATCTGAAGGCCACACACTCATGACCTCATCAATCCCGAATTACGTCCCAAAGGCCCCACCTCTAGATACCACCACATTGGAACTTTGGCATGTGAATTTTAGGGGACACCAGTTCAGTCCATATAAGCACCCAGGAGGCACAAGGCTTTATTGACTATTTTGTTCCATTTTCTGCCTTCTGTCCCTGTCTGACTGCACATCAATTTCCTGGGACACTATCCTGAAGCTAGGGACATACTCCCTGCTTGACCATAGTGACAGGTGCCCCAGTTGGGGGCCTCACCTCTCCATCTCCCCAGCCAGGCTTCAACACTTCCTCAGGTCACGTCCCTCTGGAGACCATCCTAGACAGAAGCTCCTGTTCCGAATGAATTCTCCCTCACCTCTTTCCCATGTACCTAACTGGTGCCGCTGTTTTCATGGTGCGTCCTCTTCCTTCTAGCCAGTGAGCCCTTGGAGAGCAGACCCTGCGTCTTCTCCCCCTTTGCCTTCTTCTCTCTTCCTCTCCTTCCTCTTCTTCCAACCCCTGGGATTTAGGTAGTGAATGGACTATCGTGGGTGGCAAATGTCTGTTGGAATTCAGCTGGCATTCTGGGGATTGAGAGCGTAAATAATCACTGGAGGTAATCCATTTTTCCCCTTTGTTCTCTAATGGGCTCACCAAGTATTTTGTTTCTGAAAATTATGACTATAAGTGCAACTGTTAGTTTTCCAAGTTCTACTTCCAAATCAGCAACAGAAAGTAAAGTCTCCCCTTGGGAACTTTGTATTTTCAGGCAGGAAGAGGTTTTCCAAACTTGCACAGTGTATTTATTGCTCTGTCCAGTAGAACTTTCTGCAGTGATGGCAATGCTCTTTACCTGAGCTGCCCAAGCAATAGCCATTGCTGCTCATGGCTGCTGAGCTCTTGAAATGTGTCCAGTGCAACTGAGGAACTGAGCCGATTGATTTTATTTGATTTCAGTTTATTTAAATTTAAACGCCACATGTGGCTGGCGACTGCCATATTGGAAACACAACTGCATACATTATAGAGGTGTCAACTATTAGCAAGTATTTTTATAAAATGTAGAGAGGTATTTTGATTTTTTTCTTTCTGCGTGAGCATGTTAGAGATAAAACTCTACTTAGCAAGCTGAATGTTATATTTCATGCAACTAAATGCCAGGATCATTATTAAGGCCAAAACGTGGACATCTTTAAGATTTTTTCCTGATCCATAAGGAACCCACCCATCACTGTTCATGGATATCCCAAAGCTGGGTGACATCTACCTTCAACACTGTGGGTATGCATGTATACATTCATACAAACACAAGTGTGTATGCCTCCTCAGCAACCGGAAGTTTGCATGTTGGAAACGTTTAGTTGTAGATGCAGGTGTGCTTGCTGAAGTCACTACACCTGAACAAAACTGACCTGGGATGCAGATTATAAAATTAATTTTGTTTATTTTTCTCTAGAAGGTGAGTGCACCAGATATTCTGAAACCTCTCAATCAAGAGGAGCCCAAACGTTCTACCAACCCTGCTTTGAAGCAAGAGACTCACTCATCCAGTCCAACACCCAGTGCATTATTCTCAGAAGGCGCGAGACATGTGAGTCTCACCCCAATATGTGAAATGTGATGTGTGGTTTCGATGATGTTGGAAGGCAAGAGTGGGAATGGGCTGTTGTCTTGTTGGATAAGCTGGAATGTGACAATAGAGCCTGGAATTACTATTTTACTTATATTGACAGCTTGGAAAACCTTGCTATACTTTGAGGGCAGGTTTTCTTTTCTTTCTTTTTGTTTTTTGTGAGTCAGGGTCTCACTCTGTCACTTAAGCTGGAGAGCAGTGACACGATCACGGCTCACTGCGACCTTAAACTTCTGGGCCAGGCGATCCTTCCTCGGCAGCCTTCCAAGTAGCTGGTTCTACAGGCATGTACTACTACAGGTAATTTTTTGATTTTTTGGTAGAGATGAGGTCTTACTATGTTTCCTAGGCTGATCTTGAACTCCTGGGCTCAAGCAATCTTCTCACCTTGGCCTCCCAAAGTGCTGGGATAGGGTTGTTGTTTTTTTTTTTTTACAACATCTTATTGTGAGCATTTTCATACATACATACATACAAGATGATGGTTTCTTTTGATTTTTTTGGTGTTTTTACTTTTGATAAAGTCTAATTTATCAAAATTTTTTCTTATGATTATTTCTGTCTTGTCCAAAGACAAGTCACGAAGATATTTTCCTATGTGAAAATTTAGCTTTTATACTTAGGTCTGTGCTCCAGGTCATTATTAATTTTTTTTTTTTTTTTTTTTTGAGTTGGAGTCTCACTCTGTTGCCCAGGCTGGAGTGCAGTGGCACACTCACAGCCACCCCAGCGTCAACCTGCTGGGCTCAAGCAGTTCTTCTGCCTCAGCCTTCCAAGTAGCCAGAACTATAGGCGTGTGCTACCATGCCCAGCTATTTATTTATTTATTTATTTATTTATTTATTTATTGTGGTGATGAGGTCTCGCCAAGTTGTCCGGTCTGGTCTTGAACCCGCAGGCTTAGGTAGTCCATTTGCCTCGGTCTCCCAAAGTGCTGGGATTACAGGCTGAGCCACTGAACCTGGCCCATTATTAATTTTTTAATGTGTGTGTGAATGGCAGAAGGAGGTATTGAGGCTCATTTTTTTTTCTATATGGATATTTAGTTAATCCAGTACTATTTATTAAAAAAAATACTATCATTTTTCCGAGTTACTTTGGCATCTTTGTTGAAAATCAAATGACCATATAAATGTGGATCTTCTTCCGGACTCTCTATTCTGTTCCACTGATCACTGATCTCTTTGTCTCTCCTTACGCCATGACCCACTTGTCTTGAGGACTGTTGCTTTGTAGTAAGTCTTGAAGTTGGATCATGCAAGTCATCCAGTTTGGTTCTTCTTTTTCAGGATTGCTTTGTGATGTTTTAAATGTGTTCACTATGTAGAAGCAGGCACTTTTATTCATTCATTTACTAAAAAAAATTATTTGAATGCTAGAGTGCCTAGAATTGTTTTTTTGTCAGATAGTAGATGCAGGAGGCCTCAGTTAACAGTTGCCTTAGTCCATTTGTGCTGCTATAACAACATTCCACAGACCGGATAATTTGTGAACAATAGAAATTTATTAATCATGGTTCTGGAGGCTGGGGAATCCAAGATCAAAGCCCTGGCAGGACTGGTATCTGGGGAAGTCCTATCTCTTATAGATTGCTCCATCTAAGTGTCCTCACATGGCAGAAAAGAAGGAAGGGCAAGAGGGCCAAATGCTGTGGGAAGCCACTTTTATAAAGTCCTTAATCCCATTCCCAAGGCTCTACCCTCATGATTTTATCACCTCCTAAAGGCTCCCCCCACCCTTAATACTGTCACATTGGCAATTAAGTTTCAACACATGACTTTGGGAGGGGACATAAACATTCAAATCATATCAACAGTTACGATTCTTTCACTTATTATATGACCTTAGACAATCCCCAAAACTCTCTAAACTTCAGAGTCCTTATCAGAGAAACGGGCATTAGAGTTCTCTTGATTTCCCTAGATAGCTTTGAGAATGAAATGATTGCAGGAATTCCGTGGCTCAATGCAGTGCTAAGAACTCAGCCTTTGGCCAGGCGCGGTGGCTAACCCCTAGAATCCCAGCACTTTGGGAGGCGGAGGCGAGAGGATTGCCTGAGCCCATGGGTTTGAGACCAGTCTGGGCAACATGGTGAGACCTTGTCTCTACAATAAATAAAAAATGAATAGCTGGATGTGATAGCACATGGTAGTTGTGCTACTTGGAAAGCTGAAGTAAAGGGTCTCCTGAGCCCAGGAGGTTGAGGCTGTGGTGGCCAAGAGTGTGGCACTGCACTCCAGCCTGGGCAACAGAGTGAGACTCTGACTCAGAAAAAAAAGAACTCAGCTTCTAGAAACTGACATTTTGGCTCATGTTCCAGCTTTTTTAGTGAAGAGTGAGCTGGAGCAAGTCCTTTAGCCAACCTGTGACTTTGGGTGGTTGTTCTTATATAAAATGATGTTTGGCTCAGATAATTTTACATTCCTCTCCTTCTCTGCATGCATGTCCAGTGGAACACTCAAGAATTGTGGCAAAAACAAATGGACCATGCATTGCAGGACAACTTGCATCCTTGGTTCAGTTGACTACATGTTAGTAGCTCTCAACAGACCCCTTCACTGGCTCATGTCGGGGGTCCTGTCCCCATCAAAACCTCTGTGCTGCACCCTTACTCCTTAAAGCATGGGACTCAGTAAATTGTCACCGCCTGGGAGCTTATCAGAAATGTTGAATCTTGGACCCTCCCACAGACCTACTGACCCAAAATATGTAACTCCACAAAGTGCAGGCAATTCATGTGCAGAGTCAAGTTTGAGAAGCAACAGTTGAGCCCTGACAACTTCAAACCTCAAACTTTTTAGGGATTCTTGAACAGTTTAGGGCTGTGCTATCCAGTACAGTAGTCATTAGTCTCACATCACTACTGAGTACGATATGGCTAGTCCAAACTGAGATATGCTGTGAGTATAAAATATACACTGAAGTTTGAAGTCTTTAGTATAAACAAATCTAATTAATTTTTATATTGATCCATGTTGATATGATAGTATTTTGGATATATTGGATTAATATAATAAATTTTTAATGTGGCTTCTAGGGAATCTTAGATTACATAGTTGGCTAACATTTCTGTTGGCCAGCATTGTTCTGGACACTAGTGTTGTGCGTGAATTAGTACCTGGGGCAAGGGCTCTATTCCGAGGGATCTCTGGAATGGAATCCAAAATGTTCCGTGCATATGCCTCTGTGTCCTTTCCTGGGAAGAAGGTTCATGTATTCATCCAGAAAGTTCATGTTTTTATCCAGCTCTCAAACAGATCTGAGAACTGACACTGGTTAAGAGCCAGGATTTGGCCGGGCTCAGTGGCTCAGCCTGTAATCCTAGCACTTTGGGAGGCTGAGGTGAGTGGACTGCCTGAGCCTGCAGGTTCGAGACCCACCTGGGCAACTTGGCAAGACCTCATCTCTACGATAAATCAAAAATTAGCCGGGTGTGGTAGCGCACACCTGTAATTCCAGCTACTTGGAAGGCTGAGGCGGAAGGATCACCAGAGCCCAGCAGGTCGAGGCTGTGGTGTCCGGGAGGGTGCCACTACACTCCAGTCTGGGTGACGGAGTGAGACTCCAACTAAAAAAAAAAAAAAAGCCAGGATTTGACTCTCAGACACAAATGCTGTTCACACCATCCTCTCATGGAAGTCTCTGACTTCTTGCTGAGTGTGGTCTCCTGTCCTGGGTCACACAGCCAGTGGTATCAGAACCAAGTGTCTGACTGCTGAGACCCTGTCTGTTTGGGCTGCTATAACAAACTAGCATTGATTGAGTGGCTATAAACAACCGTGATGTATTTCTCACCGTTCTGGAAGCTGGACGTCCAGGCTCAAAGCACCAGCAGAATCTGGTAAGGACCCATTTCCTGACTTGTAGGTGGCTCCTTCTCACCACGTCCCCACCTGGTGGAAGAGGCAAGGGAGGTCCTTCGTGCCTATTTTATGAGGGCACTAATCCCATTCATGAGGGCTCTGCCCTCGTGATCTAATCACTTTCCAGAGTTCCTACCTCCTAATAGCACTCTCTTGAAGGTGAAGATTTCAACATATGGATTTGGGGGCACACAAACATTCAGGTCCTGACCCTCTGCTTCTCACATGCCCTTTTCATTTGAGAAACCAAAGCTGTGAGAAGCCTGCAGTCGTCCTGCCGGAATGTTTGAGAGAGCTTGTGCTGGAGGGTGGTCTGGCGCTTTCTGCACGCCAAGGTAGGGCTTGCATTTGAGAATAGTTCAGAAAGATAAACTGGCCTGAGCCAACACTTCCGTGAGGCAAGGCAACTCCAAAACCTCTCCTCGGGTTGAACCCTGTGGTGGGTTCACTCACCCCGCCTCTCCCTAAGATCACATTGTCTCTACCCCCGGTGATGGAAGAATGCCAAGGACTCCTGCCAACTTGAGCCTGTGCAAAGCTGACCACGGGGATGAGGCTGAACCTCCATAGAGAGCCAGTAAGGCGGTTTGTCTGACTTCCCAGTGCCCTCTAGATTGGACTCTAAGCTCCTCCGATGGCCAGAGTCAAGTTTTTATAGCCCCAGAAACTAATACATAGCCCAGTATGCAGGTTTGGATCTGCTGTGGTGGCCTGTGGGGTCCTGCACGACCTGTCCCCCGCCCCCCGACCTCATCAGCCATCACCCTCCCCTGGCTCACTCCACTCAATCACTTGGCTGTACACTGATCCTGGAGGCCCTGGACACATCCTGGTTCTGGACATTTCTGCCTTGTTCCCTCTTTGGACACCAGCAAGCCATGTACTTCCTTCCTTCAAGTCTTTGCCTCCTGCGCTGTTTTTCTTACCTGCTCAGTGTGTATTTATATTCTTAGCACTCTCGGCATGCTATATGTTTGTGCTCATCTGTTGTATATTGTCTACCCCACCTCCCTACTAGACTGTGATTCCCAAGTTCCTTGAACTTGTCTAACATGTCAATGACCTCAGTAAATATTAGTTGAGTAGTTGGATTAA